TGCCTCCAGGTAGATGTGATCAGGATATGGATTTCCCTTTTCACTCTTCTTCCTGAGAAATTTCAAGATACCACTGTTGGTCGTTTTGACGTAAGTTAGGATTTAATTTTCAGCCTATTTCCTCTTTTGTCTGCTTATCCCACTCCACAATCCACATTCAGGCCTTTTTTCAAGTTGTGAACACTTCAGGGCCAGCTGTAGCTGTTTGGTTTTAATTGAAAACTGTCTCTTTAAATTTCGAGGAGATCTATGCGCATGTGTAGTAGAACCCTCCGAAGGTGGGGATGAGGTGCCCACTAGCTCAGGCACCCTTATAGTAACCAGAATGAAGGTGCGTAGACAGCAAGGGACCAATGAACAGCTACCAAAAGAAAATAATGTCCACACCTTTATCTCTGTGGTTCAGCCAGGTGTCTGTGGCCGCTCCGAACCTTCCCCCGCTTGGTCTCACCCAAGATGGTGGCTCCTGGAGCAGCTGTTCGTCCCGGACTAGAAAGCAATGGATTTCTTGCTTCTGCCACAAATTCCCCCAGCTGTAAGTCTTCCAACCTTCTAAATATTACTTTATATGTGGTTCAGAGTTCTGGGACCATCCCCTGAGCTTGCTTGGTCGGGTATTCTGTGTTTTTGTTGGCGGAGTTAAGACACGCCCACTCGGTCCGCCATCTTGTTTGTTCTTCCCTCAGCTCTTAAGAGCAGGAAGCTTGGCTTGCCTAGAGCAGAGGACATTTAGCATTGGAAAACCACAGTGGAAACAGGACCACCAACACAAGAGAACAGAAGGAAACAGTGTTAATGTCATCATGAAAAGCTCCATTCAGGTTAGTTGGTGTGGAAATGCTAAAGAGTGGTGGGGCAAAATGCATAACTGAGTGTGTGGGTGCAAGAGCAAACCCACATGCTGAAAGCTGGGCCATATATGGGGGGTCTCTATATGGGGTTACTATGAGTCAGAATCAACTTGATGGCACTTGACAACAACAACAATCTTTTCAAATAATCCATAGTAGCACAGTGGGTTAAGCACTGGGCTTCCAATCAAAAGGTCAGAGGTTCAAACCTACCTGTTGCTCCACAGAACAACGATGTGGCAGTCTACTTTTGTAAAAATTTACAACCTCAGAAAAAGCTAGTGAAAGGCCTGGGGCTGGGGATGCTTAAAGAGTCCCAGGCCAATTTGTTATGTGGATTGTCAATAAAGAGAACAGTATCATGCTGAGCCCAGAGAAGTCCCAGAAACCCCCATCGACTCCAATGTCAGAAAAACATAAGTGCTGTCTTGAGTGAGGCAGGCTTCACATCCACCCAAGGTCCACTCAGAAACCAGGAAACTCACTGAGAAGATGGCATCCAATCTCAGCAGATAGCACTCGCTCTTCTCCAGGGGCAGGAGGAGGCTCAGCAGCTTGTTCTCAATGAGAAACCCCTGTGGAGAAGGAAGCAGTAGTCAGAGACAGCAACCAGAGCCAGGATCTGTGTAGCCAGCCAGGGGCAAGTCCATGGAGCAGAACCTCCAGGCATGACACTCCGGGCAGCAGGGAAGCTTCAGTGGAAGATATTTCTGGAGATGGCTTCCTTAGAGTCATCCCAGGAAGCAAGGCCAGGGGCAAAGCCAATCCTCATTATGAATTTAGTCTGTCTCCATTGCAGAAGAGTGGTAACTTTCCCACAAGCCATTGGACAAGAGCTAGAGTTCCCCGCTGCAGTCCAAACCTGATTCCATCACAGACATATCCCATGTCACTTCACTCATGCTCTATTCCCCATAGATCTGTCAGAACACAGCAGTAGGCAATGAGCTGGAGGAAAGGAAGGCACAGAGGGGGACAAACATGCCATATCAGAACATAGTGCATGGAAAGTGGAAGGCAGGAAGGTAGAAGGGGAATTTGAGCGCCTGAGGGACGGCTCCGTGGAAAGTGACCCCTGGCTGCAAGTCAGCAAATACAGAGAGGAGGAGCTCCCGGTTTCCAACTTCAGGAGAATGCCCTCAATGGTCAGAGAGAGATGGGGCAGTCAGCCCTAATGCTAGAGAAAACTTCCCAGTTGCCCCAAGTAAATTGGAAACTGCTGATCTCTGCCTCAGCTGGCCACCTTGATGTTGTGTGCGATGCTGGGGAGTCGATTCTGACTCAGAGTCACCCCTAGAGGTCAAAGTAGAACTGTCATAGAGTTGTTATCTTTTCAAGGACTTCTGGTGTGGTGCTAGCTGTAGGAAAAGCACTGGACTGGGAACCACAAAGTCAACAGTTCAAACCCATCAGTTGCTCCTATGAAACTCTATACGGGGTCACTATGAGTCGGAATCAACTTGATGGCATTTAACAACAACTATCTTTTGAAATAGTCCCTAGTGGCACAGTGGGTTAAGCATTGGGCTTCCAACCAAAAGGTTGGAGGTTCAAACCCACCTGCTGTTCCACAGAAGAAAGATGTGGCAGTGTACTTCTGTAAAGATTTACAACCTCAGAGACCCTAGAGATCAGGATCCTAAAGTGTCACTATGAGTTGGACTCAACTCGATAGGAGTGGGTTTGGGACGGGTTTTTTTAGAACTTTACAGAGGAAGATCACCAAATCTTTTCTCCTGCAAAGCAACTGGTGAGGTCAAACTGCTGACCTTTTATTTAGCAGCTGAGTGCTTCACAATTGTGCCGCCAGGGCTAGCCACCTCAAAACTGTAAAATCTAAATAAACATGGTTCATGTTTGGTAACAACTCAACTTTCAGCTAACCAGCTCCAAGGCAATCTTTACTCTTTTGCTCCTAAGTGAAAACATACTTCAAAGTTTTTGCTAATAAATAGTCCAGATGTCCAACGCCTAACACAATCAGTGTAATCTCAAACTAAGCTCTCAGAGAAAGGTCTCTAATCAGTTGTGGTCACATGACGTAGCACTGGGAGATGGGTGCCTCTTCTGCCTCAGAACAAATGCTATTTTAGGTTAACAGAGGCCTGTCAGCTTGGTGGACTACACCTTCCTGACCCACTAAGGGGAGAGCCATTTGCCAGATGGGCCAGTTCTGAGGCACGGTCTCTCTGTGGGCACCTCTGTGTAGGCCAGAGGCTGTTCCCTACTCTGTTCCTTAGGGCTTGCCCAGTGGAAAGCTGGTCCACTCCTGACTCCAGTCCACATCTGGCCTGGACAGAGTACCTAGAAGTAGTACACACTGATGCCTCAATAGAAAGACTGCTCCTCTGGAGGCAAAGTCACCTACAAGAGTCTCTGCCACCACCCTAGGAAGCCAGCCTCACCGACTCGTCACACAGGAGCATCAGGATCTTTCTGGTAGTTTTTGCTGAAACTTGCTTTGGCAGGTCCAGGTAAGACTCTAGTTCTGAGACCATCTCTTCTGAGCCCTCGTCTTCTGCAAAGGGTCATGGAGAGAAGAGAGAGAAAGGAAAAAGGAGGTAATTTCTTGGCCATGTTGACAGTTAAATGACTTTTCTTAAGAAAGTTGACCTGTTTAAAAGCCTGTCTGAGGCACTATCATTGGTTCTTTATGCTGAAAAAGTGTATTATGTAGAGAAAGGTGTGAGGTCTGCAGGCCACGGGGATAAAAGACTATATCCTGAGAACTCTTGTCATTCTCTGCCACTTTTCCAAAATTCATCTCTTAGAAACATCTGTTCTCAACATCCAGCCATGAAGTAGGAATTAGGAGGGAGAGAGTGAGCCTGGTTATTTTACTTTAAAGACTATCTAGCAGGCTAGCTATCTGGTTTCTAAGCCTGCAACAGATTAGATGCCACCTCTAGAGGATAAGCACTGGACTGAGAACCACAAGGTCACCAACTCAAATCCACCAACTGCTCCATGGGAAAAAATTGAGCCTTTCTGCTCCTGCAAAGATTAATAGCCTCAGAACACCTATACAGTGTCACTATGAGTCAGCACCTACTCAGTGGCACTTAACAACAATAACAACTAAAAGTGAGGCCAAGTTCAGACTTGGAGAGTAAATAAAGCTTACTGAATAGAGGATGGTTGTTGTATGCTCTCAAGTTGACTCCAACTCACAATGACCCTGTATAGGGTTTCCAAGGCTATAAATCTTTAAGGGAGCAGAAATTCTCATCTTTCTCCTAAGAAGTGACTGGCAGATTTGAACTGCTGACCTTGTACTCAGCAGCCTAGTGCTTATTCTACAACACCACTAATACTCCATTGATAGAGGATCAAGAAATAGAAAAGACCAAGGATAGAATTTGAGAGTTGTAAGATACATAGGTCTTTTTCTTTCTTTCCTGTCTTTTTAATGATCTATTGCTTTCTTCCTGTATGATGCTATTGATATCATCCCACAACTCTTCTGGTCTTCAGTCACTGGTGTGTAATATTTTAAATCTGTTCTTGAGATAGTCTCTAAATTCAGGTGGGATATGTTCAAGGTCATATTTTGGCTCTTGTGGACTTACTGCAATTTTCTTCAGCCTAGAGTTGCATGTGAGCAATTTGTGGTCTTTTCCACAGTAGGCCCCTGACCTTATTTTGGCTGATGATATGGAGTTTCTACATTCTCTCTTCCCAAAGATGTAGTCACTTTGATTCCTGTGTTTTTCATCGAGTGAGGTCCACTTGTATAGTCCCACTTTATGTTGTTGAAAAAGGTATTTTTATGTTGTTGAAAAAGGTATTTGCAATGAGTAAGTTACTGGTCATGCAAAACTCTATCATGTACTCTCCAAAGAAGATGGAAGGAATATACAGAGTCTGTATGCCCAAAAGAATTGGTTAACATTCAACCATTTCAAGAGGTAGTATATGATCAAGAACCAATGATATTGAAGGAAGAAGTCTAACCTGTACTGAAGGCTTTGACAAAAAAACAAGGTTCTAGGAATCAGTGGAATACCAAGTGAAAAGTTTCAACAAATTGATGCAGCGCTGGAGGCATCCACTCATCTATGCCAAGAAATTTGGAAGACAGCTACGTGGCCAGTTGATTGGAAGAGACCCATATTTGTGCCTATTCCAAAGAAAGGTGGTCCAACAGAATGGGGTAATCATTAAACAATACCATTAATATCACATGTAAGTAAATTTTTGCTGAAGGTAATTCAAAAACATTTGAAATAGAACATCTACAAGGAACTGACAGAAATCCAAGCTGAATTCAGAAGAGGACATGAAATGAGAGAGATCATTGCTAATGTTAGATGGATCATGACTGAAAGCAGATGACAAGAAAGGAGTTTACTTGTGCTTCATTGACTACATACAGGTATTCAACTGTGTGGATCATAAAAACTGGATAACATTGTGTGAAGAGTATTTACAGAACACTTTATTGTGCTCATGAAGAACCTGTACAGAGACCAAGTGGCAGTCACTGGAACAGAACAAAAAAAATATTGAATGGTTTAAAACCAGGAAAGGTGTGTGCCAGGTTTGTATCCTCTCACCAATTTACTCAGTCTGTATACTGAGCAAATAATCCAAGAAGGTCGATTATATGAAGAAGAATGTAGCATCAGGATGGGAAGAAGACTCATTAACCACCTGTGATAGGCAGGTGACACAACCTTGTTAGCTGGAATCTAAGAGGACTTAAAATACTTATTAATGAAGATTTAAAAAAAACAAAAAACTACAGTCTTCAGTATGGATTGCACCTCAATGTAAAGATAACAACTGGATCAATAAAAAACATCATGATAAATGGAGAAAAGATTGAAGCTGCCAAAGACTTCATTTTGCTTAGACCCACAATCAATACTCATGGAAGTAGCAGTCGAGAAATCAAACTACATACTGCATTAGATCAATATGCTGCCAAAGACCTCTTTAAAGTGTTCAAGAGCAAAGATGTCAGTTTGAAGACTAAGGTGGGACTGTCCCAAGCCATGGTATTTTCAATTGCCTCATATGCATGTGAAAGTTGTACAGTGAATAAGGAAGACCGTAGAAAAATAAATGCATTTGAATTTTAATGTTAGAGAATATTGAGAGTATCATAGACTCCCAAAAGAACAAACAAATCTGTCTTTGAAGAATACAGCCAGAATGCTCTTTAGAAGAGAGGATGGTGAGAATTCCACTCATTCTTCGCACATGTCGTCAGCAGGGATCAGTCCCTGGAGGAAGTCCCCCAGACTGATAAAGTGGCAGCAACAATGAGCTAAAATATAGAGATTTTGAGGTTAGTGCAGGACTGGATGGCGTTTCATTCTGTAGAGCATAGGGTTGCTATGAGTTGGAAACATCTTAACAGCATCTAACAACAACAACCACAACAACAACATATATAGAAGAGACTTCATCCAATGAGACAAGATCCTGACCTTTAAGGATTTATTCAGATACTCTAATTATTTGTTAGGCATATCTATCTGGAAGATTGTTGTTGTTGTTGTCATTGTTAAGTGCCATCAAGTCGGTGACCCTGTACAGGGTTTCTGAGGAGCAACTGGGTGAGCGTGAACCACCGATCTTGCAGTCTGAATGCCAATCTTGCTTTAGTAGTCCAGTGCTTATCCTACAGCACCATACCAGGACTTCTTCTCTACACTAAGGTTGGTTAATTTATTACATGTACATTATTTTTCATCCTTTCTTTTCCATTCCTTCACTAACTCAGAATCTTTATACTTTGTATGAAAACTAGATGATCACAAATTTTGTAAGTATTCTTCAACAGTACTCCTTCTATCACAGTTCTGATCATGGTCCTTAACTACAAGATCAAATCCAAAGTCTCTGTTGTTGCTAAGTGCCATTGAGTTGGTTCCCACTTACAGCGACTAAGGAGCAGGTGTTGGGTTTGAACTGCCAGCCATGTGGTTCAAAGTCCAGTGCTGACTCTACAGCACCACACCAGGAGTCCTTTGTTGTTGTTGCTGTTATTAGGTGCCATTGACTTGATACTGAATCATAGCAACCCTATGCATAACAGAGCAAAACACTGCCTGGTCCTGTGCCAACCTCACAATTGTTGGCTACGCTTGAGTTCATTGCTGTTGCCACTGTGCCAATCTCATTGGAGAGCTTCCACTTTTTCACTGACCCTCCCCTTTGCCAAGTATGATGTCCTTCTCCAAGGACTGGTCCTTCCTGATATGTCCAAAGTAAGGGAGACGAAGTTGATCTGAGCAAAATATCTTTGACAATTTCAATCTTTTCTCCATTTTATTTGATGTTATTTATTGGTCCTGTGGTAAGGATTTTTGTTTTCTTTAAATTGAGGGGCAACCCATACTGAAGGCTGTGATCTTTGATCTTCATCATAAGTATTTTAATTCTTATTTGTCTTCAGCAAGCAAAGCTGTATCATCTGCATACTGCAGGTTGTTAATTAGTCTTCCTCCAATCCTGATGTCCTGTTTTTCTTCATATAATCCAGTTTCTTGAATTATTTGTTCAGCATACAGATTAAGTAAGTATGATGTCAGAATACAACCCTGTCACACCCCTTTCCTAATTATAAACCATTCAGTGTTTTCTCTTGTTCTGTTCAAACAGTTGCCTCTTGGTCCTTGTATAGGTTCCTCATGAGCACAATTAAGTATTCTAGAATACTCATTCTCCACAATGTTGTCCATAGCTTGTCATGATCCACACAATTGAAAGCCTTTGCATAGTCAATAAAGTACAGGTAAACATCTCTCTGGTATTCTCTGATTTCAGCTAAAATCCATTAGAGATTAGCAATGATATCCCTCGTTCCACTTCCTCTTCTGAATCCAGCTTGAACCTCTGACAGTTCTATCATTGTACTGTTGCAGACATTTTAAAATTATCTTTAGCAAAGTTTTACTTGCATGTGATTTTAATGATATTGCCCAATGATTTCTGCATTCCCTTGGGTCTTCTCTCTTTGGAATGGGCACAAATTTGGATCTCTTCCAATCAAGAGTCCTTTGTTGTTTGTTGTTAAGCACTGTCAAATCAATTCTGACTCATACTCATCGCAACCGTGTACAGGGTTTCCAAGAAGCAGTTGGTGAATTTGAACCACTGACCTTACGGTTCAAACTGACCTTGCGGTCCAGAGCTTTATTTCACAGCACCATACCAGGGCTCCATGAGTCCTTTAGTCTTCTGTAATTTTTCAGTCCTACCTTCCCTCATACCAAACCACCCACTGTCATTGAGTCTGTTCCAACTCAGAGTGACCCTATGTCAGGTTTCTGAAGCTGTAAATCGTTATGGGAGTAGAAAGCTTGATTGTTCTACTACAGAGCGGCTAGTGGATTCGAACTGCTGACCATGTGGTTAACAACCCAACCCATTACACCACCTCCCCTCATACTTCTTTACAGATTCCTAGTTCAGCTAATTTGGTAATCTGCTACCCAAATAACATGTACTTTGCATGCCATTTCCTCCAACTGGAATCCACTGCTGTTTTTCAAAATTCATATTAAA